GTTATATCCCCGTTTTATTGCCGTTATATCCCCGTTTTATTGCCGTTATATCCCCGTTTTATTGCCGTTATATCCCCGTTTTATTGGCGTTATATCCCCGTTTTATAGTTGTTCTATAAAACAAGAACACCTTAGCCACGGTTCCGAAATTAACTAGATCAACACCCGCAACAATAACAACAGAAATAAAGGAAGGGTTTCATCAATAACTTTAGTACGTGTCAGGTCATAGCAATCAGCGTGATCAGCAATCAGCGTGACCAGCAATCAGCGTGACCAGCAATCAGCGTGACCAGCAATCAGCGTGGCAATCATCAGACATGCTCGCTGTTCAGCAGTCACAAGCAATCACCTAATAAGCGAGATCAGGCGATGCGGCCGCTAGCGCGATCAATGATGACTACATTGATCAATCATCAATGATAACATAGATGATCAATGATGACACAAGTGATCAATGATGACACAGGCGGTCAATGATGACATAGATAATCAACTGGCCGATCAATGATGACACAGATGATTAATGACGATACAAGTGATCAATGATGACACAGGTGTAATGATAACACAAGTGATCAATGATAACACAAGTGATCAATGATAACACAAGTGATCAATGATGAAACAAGTCACAAGATCAATGTTGACACAACAAGTTAACGCATTAACTGATCATTTAACAGTAAACTCTATAAAGCCAACAGTCGAGCAAATAACGATAAATGGGTACGATAATGATTAATGATAATGAGCAATTAGTGATTACATAATGAGATCACATTCACCAGCTGTAATCACTCAGACAAATACTGTCTCTGGCTTGTCCACGTAAAATTATTTGTATAATCATACTGAAAGAATATCAATATAGATAACATAGTTATTAATTAATGATATTTATAGTACTCATTATTAATAAAAATATTTTAGTAATTGTTATTTATTTCAATTTTCAATCACTATATAACTAACAAAGACAATCAAAAATTTTGACATTCATTGCCAGACAATGTGCAAAAATAACTAAATACATTGTATGTGTACAAATTACCGCTGCGCTATGTCGCTATCTTCTGTTACGGCGGTGTTACGGCGGCGAGACTCAGCATAAAAGCATTAACTTATCATTAACAGTAAACGCTCGAAAGGTGACAGTCGAACAGATAATGATAAATGAGCACGATAATGATGAATGATAATGAGCAATTAGTGATTACATAATGAGATCACATTCACTGTAATCACTTAAACAAATCTGTCTCTGGTTTGTCCACGTAAGATTATTGTACAATCAAACTGAAACGATATCAATATAGATAACATTATTATTAATTAATGATATTAATATTAATATTAATCATTAATAATAACTATATTTTAGCAATTGTTATTTATTCAACACACAATTGCTAATCACTAAATAGAAGCTGAAATAATGAGGTTCATTGGTACACTCAATAGAGTGTACATGTTGGTACAGCAATAAGTTGCACATTGTACGCATTCTTCATTCATATATGCCTTCATGTATTCATTCAACTTATCAACCATTAACGTCTTCCCCCTTCATTTTCACCATCTTCACTCACGTATTTTCTGTGCTGCAAATTTCATACATTTTTCCAGTAATCAAAGCAGACTGATTTCATGAATATTAGTTTAATAAATATTGACTTGATAAATGAATCACTTACTATTTGTCAAATTCCTTTTCCCATGTCTTCTTCTTCCTTTTTTCCTTCATCTATTTTTTATGTTTTTTTTGCTGTGGTTCAACAAACTCACCCTCCCCTAATCCTGTCTCTTATACACATCTAGATGTGTATAAGAGACAGCCTCAGACCCGTCCCTCAGACCCGTCCCTCAGATCCTTCCCTCAGACCCATCTCTCAGATC